GCCTTGTTCACATGTTCTTGCTGCATGCAAGTATGCACACCATGACTTCAACAATTACATTCATTCAGTGTATACCTTACAACAAGTTTCAAAGGTATACGAAACACAATTTGGGTTATTGCGAAATGAAGAATATTGGCCAACATACATAGGACCTACTTTGTGTGCAAATCAAGAAATGAAAAGAATTTCAAAGGGCCGACCAAAATCAAGCTGTATAAGAACTGAGATGGATATTACAGAAAATCAAAGTAGGATTAAAAAATATTCATATTGTCATACCCCTGGTCATAACAGAAGAACATGCCCGAATGTTGCACGTGCATCTACTTCGCATCATTAGATTGTGTTAGTTAAGAAATGCTCCAATGTATGAAACTTAAGAGTTTTTCAATTAATTGAAAGTGATGAAAATCTTATTGAATCATTTGATAAAACGAAGATCTTGTGGATTTGATGAAGTCAATGACTAATCTGATGAAGTCAAAGGCTACTTAAAGAACTTTTTGCTAACTGTTTTAATCGATGTAAAATTGAAATAATCGATTAAAACAACTTAAGAAACTTTTTGCTAACTGTTTTAATCAATGTAAAATCGAAATAATTGATTAAAACAACTTAAGGAACTTTTTGGTAACTGTTTTAATCGATGTAAAATCGAAATAATCGATTAAAACAACTTAAGGAACTTTTTACTAACTATTTTAATCGATGTAAAATCGAAATAATCGATTAAAATAATTTAAGGAACTTTTTGCTAGCCTGTGGTCAATTCTCGCTCAAGCGATTTCGCTTGAGCGAGAATTAACCACAGGTTAAACGTCCAACGCAGTTAGCCACATAATGCAACTTGGGTCACCACATATTTCAATCACTTCTCGCTCAAGCGAAAGTACACATCGCTTGAGCGAGAATTGACACGAGATTACCCATTAGTTTCAGGTCTCCTCGCTCAAGCGAAGGGTTTCTCGCTTGAGCAAGGGAGAAATAATCGATCACAATTTTCTATATTCGATTATTTTAAAATTATGATCAATTAGTTTAAATTATAATCGATTATATAATTCTTCGCTCAAGCGATAGATGTCTTGCTTGAGCGAGAATTGACCATGATCCAACGCAGTTAGCCAATCAATACTCGCTCGAGCGAAATTACCCATCGCTTGAGCGAGAAATGACCATAGGCTAAACGTCCCATGCAGTTAGTCACATAATGCAACGTGTATCACCACATAATGCAACTTGTGTCACCACATATTTCAATCACTTCTCGTTCAAGCGAAAGTACCCGTCGCTTGAGCGAAATATAACTCGATATTAACCATTTGTTACAGCTCTCCTCGCTCCAGCGATGAATTTCTCGCTTGAGCGAGAGTTAATCTGCACGAAATAATCGATCATAATCTAAAATAATTGATTATTTTAATATATGAAAAGTAAAGAGTACTAGTTGGGTAAATAATGTTCCAGATGTACTATTTTGGGAAATATTTTTAAAAATAGTATTATTTATAAAAAAAAAAGTCCAAAATATTCTTAAAAGATCGTATTTTTAAAATAGAGAAATTTGTCACTTATCTAACCCTGGAATTCGATCCGATCATCAAGTGAATACTACATATACAAATTAAAATAATTTATTTTATCAAGTGGAATGATAATTGGGAAAAGAAATAAACATTGTTTTTGTAGAACTAATTTTCCACTAAACAACCATTATCTCATGCCACATAACATTAAAAGTTCAATAAATGAAAAAAAAAACATTAAGAAATAGAGAAGGGGGAAATGAATTAAGCGAGTAAGAAGGAGAAGGGATCAAGATTAATAGCATATTTCCAGGTTGAGCAAGTCATATACACCAGCTAAGTTAAATTTATTGATTATCATAAGATTTTTACATTAAGAAAGCTCTTAAATTTAAAATTTGAAATGTATATTAATTTATTTATGACAAAGAGAAGATTTTTTTTAACTGTTAAAATTATTAGTATAACATAAATGTGATTAGTCTTCGGCCCCCAATAATTAAATCTATGATGCGCAAAAGCTTTTACAAAAACAAATGATATTACAGAAATAAAATATGTAGCATAAATGGGATTAGTGTCTAATTGATAAATTGAGTTAGTAATTTTAGTTTTTTAATTTGTTTAATTCATCCATTTAATCTACAAATATTGTGGATCAAATATTAATCGAGATGTGTTATCTCATTTTTTTAATATATTTATATATCAAAATAAAAATTAAATAAATTATAATTTCAAATATTATATTTTTGAGTTATGTTATTAGAATATATAAATATATTATAGTATTTAAAATCTATATATATATATATATATATATATATATATAATTATTTTACTTTACTTATTCATCTTATTTATTAGTATTAAATTTTTATATTAAGTTATAAAAAATTTGTGAGCACTCTCATCCAACTTATAGATGAAACCTATTTAAAGATTGGTCAAACTGACCAAACTAAAATACTCACAATTCAAACATATTCAAAATGTTAAACTTTGTGTAAAATATAAGTTGGTTAGAGTGTATGTTTTTTTATTAAGTCCATGTTAATAAATAAATAAATAAATTCTAAAAATATTTTTTATGTTTTATAATATTTTTTTCAAACAAATTCTTATATATTATCATTAAAATATAATTTAACACAGACTAAATTGTATTTTATGATCACTACATTATTTGAAATAAAAAATATTGTAAAATAAGGAATTTTATTTGAATAAATTTATATTATAAAAATAAATTAATTTTTTTATACATTTTAAAAGACTAAAATTATTATTCTACCATCTTAATGTCCACATCTATATGATTTCAATTACATGCTTTTTTAACCGCTTGATTTCAATATATCAAAATTAATTCCACCTCTTTTTATAGTTTATTTAAGGAACTTACGATTGGACCACATAAACAATCACCACATTATTACCAAAGGAAGCACTTTTTTTTTTTAAATGTTAGTGGAGTTACTAATAATGTGTGTACTACATTAAGGGGAAAAGAAGTTAACAACCATATATTTATTGTATTTTAGACATGGTTTGACCTAAAGATTCAATTAAAAAGAAATAAAAATCTCAAACCTATATGTGTTTGTGAAACTAGTTTCTTGTGATTGATAATCTTTTTTATGTCATACAGTCAAAGATATCCAATACTTTTGAGATTAGTGTATCAAAATATGAACTTTTGACCAATGCACCTTAGCATAGAGAATTGTATTTTAAATTCTTTTTGGTCGACTCATTTTAATTTTTCGACAACATATTTTAATATGAATATGTTAAACAACTGTTAGTCTGTAGTACCATTAAAATTTTGTGTATCCTCTGGTTCACATTTTGGAGTATACGTTCATGCATTATCAGAAACTATTTTGCAAGTAATTAATATGATACACTGTTGAGAAATAATATTATAATATATTGATGAGTATAATTTTACTTTATTAAGTTTTTTTACGTTGTTTATCATAAAAGGCAAAATATATTTGAAAGATGAATTTTAATTTGGAGGGATGAGAAGAGTGGATAATTTTTTATTTGTTATGTTGTTTTTTTTTTAACATTTTTAGCAATCAAGTAGCATTTTAAAAAAAATTAATTGTTTTTATAAAAGTTATAGTTGTGTCAATTTAAAATGAAAAAATATTTTCTTGTCTTGGTCCTTCCTAGTAAAAGTTAAGGTATTTTTAAAAAATTTGAAAAAAAAATAAAAAGTACTTTAAAATGAAATACTATCACTGGGACCCGTTACTCCATTAGGTACTATTATTGCCCAGTTTGAGCATGCTCCACCAATATGGGCTGGTAAAAGTTGATTAAAATAAGATTGATTCAAGCTCATTCAATCTTTTTAAGGCTGGAAAATTACTAGTCCATTTTCCCAAGTGTTTGCCCTAGATGATTCTGTAAACAAAATTCAGAACGAAAGGCATCAACCAGCGAATTGTTGCGAATCCATGCCAGAAGCAATTGCAGAATTTGAAAATACGGATGAAGTGGTGCTGAGGCGAACACAAAGTAATTTTGTAGAAAAAATGACAAATTGTTGACTGGAATTAAAACCACTTTGAAGAATACTCTCATGGTTATTGGTACAGTAGTATTTAAGCCTTTAGGAGAAGTCTTAACTTCATTATTTGACTAGGGCGTGTTTGAATAAGCTTTTTTATAAGACTTCAAGAAGAAAAAAATAAAAAGAAAAAATTTAATTAATTTTCTCCATAAAGTAAAATTAACTTATGAATAAGTTAAATAGTTGTTAAAACTCTGTTCTACAACTTTTTCAAAATTTTACTTTATAAGTTGTCTACAAATTAATTTTAATTTACGGGGAAACTCGTATGGTTTTTTACTATATATATATATATATATATATATATATATATATATATATATATATATATATATATATATATATATATATATATATATATATTTGTTCCTAGAAGCCAACATGCTCAAAGTATTTTAATAAGAACAACCAACTAACAACGGCATACTGCATAATTCCAGAATCCTCCAGGACAAAGCAGGTTAATTAGTAACAGGCAGAAAATCACAGATAGATATACAACCTATGTATGGTGGTGGTGAAAAGTGATCAACTTAAGAATATAAAAGAAATCATTAGCTAATGCTTCATAACTATAAGGGAGAATAATTTTCCTTTATATAAAACCTGATGAAAGCGATGTCCAAAATTATAATGTGCAAATATTAGAATCCTAAATGAAACATAGAAAACTGTTCTTCATTATTTGGAGCACCCCCAGTCTACTACTACAAACTCTTTCCAATTTTGATGACTGCAAGCATTGATAACAATTTCTAAAATTGGAAAGTCATGCCTCACGTGGTCCGTCATAACCATTAGAATATGCTGTTAAGCCTGAATCCGTATCAATGTTTACTTAAAAATGCATCCATGACAAGCTCGGCATGTAAAGAACTCGTACATCAACCCAAATTTAAACCCCCACCTGAAAACTCCACCTCCTGAAGATAGGAAAAAATTAAGTTTATGAGCATATAAAGCAAGGGAACTAAAGGCATTATGGCCTCATAATTATGAGAATGGCAACCAATCATCAGATCTTTAAATTGAGAAAAGGTAGGAGACACGTCAACCAGTTATAGACGCTTTCTTCTCTTTTGTGAAGATCAATTGTAGATTTATTTTCAAAATCAACCTTACAATATCTTGTTTACAATCAGAAAGCAAGTTTAAAGAATATGTTTGTGTTTTCTATTAGAATCTAAGAGCAAGGCACTAACTCTTTGTTATACTTTTCTTTTACACATTGTATAGCTATGGTTCTTCTATATTTACTAATAAGATATCAATACCATAGAATGACATGCATGCATTCTTTTGCCACCTTTGATACCAGTTTCAGTTCAATAAAGGAAAAATGATTAAATTTGAATTATCAATATGCATCCAAATTTGAATTATCAATATGCATCCAATTGCAACTTGAACTGCAGGTTGTCCATAATAAACCCTTTGATATGGAATTCATAATCAAAAGCAACTTCATGATGCAAAAATTCATTATTTGTCACATAATTTAAGAACATTGCACAGCAATTTTACAAGATGAACTAGATAATGACAAGATGATAAATATTCATCAAATTAAATTCAGACTTTTAAAGAAGGTAGCTGCAACCTTGGAGAATAAAACATCGAAGTTTTGAAATAATCTACCCCAAATAAATAGTCAAGAAGTGTAAAATGGAGCCAGCAAGATAATGTGTCTAGTTTTTAACTATTGTTTGAAGAGGGCTCAAATAATACAAAGCCTAGAACAAATATCACATGCAACTTTGCAAGTAATGTATTAAAAACAGTAATCAAACCTGAGCAGGTGACAAGGATGAGACCCAGTCTGATGTGTGCGTAGGAAGAAGCCCCAATGAATTGAGCTGCACAACAAGACAATCACATTTTGAATTATTAAAAAAATGTACATAAAATCAATGTTATCAAGCTTGAGAGTCTAGATAAACTTGTGGAATCACAGTAAACTCAAATAATTCTTCAAAAGTGTTATAAAAAACAAATTCTATTACTCAAACTCAATTCAATAGCATATCCATCTTAATATCAAACATTTCATTTCATAACAAAGCAAACATAAGTAACAAGGTAAACACTTAACTCAACACTTGACCCACATTATATTAAGTCAGACATTTACATTTTTGTTGTAGTATTACAAATCAGAATAAAAATAAAAATGAAAACATAAAATTAGCTTTATAAACCCCATGTATATTACAGAACACAAGCAATTTAATCCAAGTACCAAACCAGATCAACCGAAGCTATCCATTTTGAGGCCTGAAACCATGTCTAAGTCTAAGCTTGTAAACTTGCTAGTTGAACAGTGAGTTCACCAAATTTGTTACATTACAGCTTACAAGCAATTTAACTTGTTTGTGTCAAGGGATCATAAACGCACAACAGTGTAGTTTGATGACAAAAATGGCACGTACACATTTACTTTGACATTTTGTAATACATCCTATCCATTTTTAGGCCGAAACCATGTATAAATCTAGGCTTGAGTTTGTCCAATTTTGAAATACAACTTGTTTTTGTGTCAAGGGATCATAAACGCACAACAGCGTAAGAGTTTGACAATAACAATGGCACATAGACACATTTACTGAAACATTTTGAAATACAAGTATCTTGATGACAATCGTGCATGAGGCACATGACTACATATATTACCTTCCAAACACCTAGTGCCAAGCCACCCAAATTAAGGGCTATAAATAACAACTTAGGTCCAAGAAGCTCCACCTTATTGTCTTTGTATGGCTCAAAAACTGCAGAAACCAATAAAATGCATTAACAATCCCAGACCAAACAGATGTTCTCCAGTAGATGTTTCACGAAGTTCAAGCCAACAAAAAAACTTGTAAAACTAAAAGCCAAAATATATTCATTAATAGAACATCTTGTGTCAATGTAATAAGAACAAAAGAATTTAAGTATCAGCCATTCCGGAAGAGAATGAATTGCAATAGAGACTAAAAAACGTTCCTTCCATACCCCCAAAGGCTCAAACACCAGAGCACAAATAACGTACAAAGTCTAAAAATAAGGGGAACATGCAGAAGAAAGAACACCACAATACAAGTAAGCTAATCACTAATACCAAGTTTCCAAAGCTTTTATATTTTTCTTTTCAAACTTCACTTCGGAAGCTTTCAATTCAATTAATACCTTGTTTGGTTTAGGGGATTTAGAGGAGAATTAATTTTGAAATTGGTGGAACCAACCTACTGTATTATTTTTTCATCTATTTCCACTCATCCCTTTCCACATATCTTCTCTTCAATTAAATGCCTTTAATTTCTATTTTATTTCTCACTTTCAATCATTCTTCTTATTTCATTCATCCTATTTATCTTCTCTCTACCGGATGGGACCTAAGGGTGGATTTGTAAAAACTTAATTGCAACTTATTTGAGCTTATCTTATGATATAAGCACTTATATAACTAAATGTAAAAAAAACTTATAAAAATAGCTGATAATAATTTCTTAACTAGTTTTTAGCTTATTCAATAAGCTCTCCAAGATAGCTTATAAAAACAACTTACAAATTGAAGGAAAACAAATTAACCTTATATACTTGTTGCTTATTGTCTATATAAACAACTTCTACCCATGCCATATGTGCTAGCACAACAAACACTTATCTAAGTAGCACTTAATTAATCTGTTTACCCAGTCACGCCAACAAAATAATTGATCTCTAAGTACACACTTACATATCACAGATCAATGAATTTAATGCTATAAAGGGTGTGGCATACATCTAAGATCAACCAAATTTGCGTTAAAACGAAATGAGAAGGTGAAAGCATACTCTTTCCGACACTCTGCAAGGCACTAATGGGTTGCCAAAGTGCAGAAAAAGTAATCCCAATGCTGAATAAGTGGACTGTGCTACCGGCCATCCACATCATGAACCCCATCATCAGCAAATTCTTCAAAGGGGCTTGTGCTACCTCCCAAGCTTTCTGTTCATAATAATAACAACAATCATCAAAACCAATAATTAAATTAAATTAATCATTATTTCCTCAGTTAACAAATCAATTACCACAAATACAAAAATAATCTATAAAAAAAGAAGGTAAAACCTGGGCTTTCCAATTGGATTCAGCGTCCTTCTTCTGTCGACTGAGCGTTGAATCGTCCTGCGTGATTTAATTTTAATTTTGATTTAAACAAACTTTAATTTGAAAAGATGAAAGAAATTGAAAGGATTGAAGTGTGCGAGGCAACTAACCTGGTCCAGAGAAGCACGAGAGAAACCGGGTGGATCGGGAATATCGCGCGAAGTGGAATTGTCTGAGAAGTCAACGCCCCACCTTCGTCCTCCCGATCCCATCACTCCCTTTCCCTTATCCATCGGTTCTCTCTCCGCTGTGTGACTCCAGTGAATGAAACGGCGTCGTCAAGGAATGGTGTTGCTCCCTCTGGATCGCGTTCAGTGCAGGGTGACCGAGGGTAAAGCAATTGTGAGGTTTCAAAAGTCTGTCTTTGTTTTTCTCAAAACGACGTGGTTTTGAATAATAGTGAAAAAAAGATAACTAAAAAGTTTCATATAACTAAAAGATAACACTAAAAATATCAATGTAGTGCAGCACTATAAAAAGTAGTAATATGGAGAATATATAATTATTATATTGAAAGACTAAATTGTGGGGTATAGAGTCAAATATATATCCTAATTTATAATATAGTATAGTATTAAAATCCATAATGTAACATTAGATATTGCATATGAAAATGTTAAAAAATCAATTCAACCATAAAGATAAAAACAAAATAAAAAATCGAGAGTGGTTGACGATAAAAAAAAATCTATAACATTTTATTATAATAATAATAATAATAATAATAATAATAATAATAATAATAATATTATTATTATTATTATTATTATTATGAGCAATATTTTTTATTTGATTTACTTGATGAATTTCAAGGGTCCCATGATAAAATCAATGGAAATTTTGGGTGAATCTTGATATTTACATAAATCACATGTCATTTTAGAAGAGTTGGTCCGTAGATCTAGATGTAATGTGAAACCAAAAGTGAAATTTATAAATAATTCGATAATAAGTTATGAAGGGAAAGACAAAATAATGATCCAAAAAAGATATGACAAATATGCAATAATTTTAAATGTGTTCTATGTTCTAGCCATAAAGCACAATTTGTTAAGTATCGATCAACTTCTTCAAAAAAGACATTTGATTAATTAGAGATCGAGGGAGAAGATATTGAATATCCTCAATAAGAATGAGACATTGATTTTGAAGGCACCTCTAAGCAAGAACAGAGTTTTTCGAATCGATATTCCAATATTGAATAATTTGTGTTTTGCAACAATAGTCTTTGATATCAATTGGCTATGACATTTGAGGTATAGTCATCTTGGCTTCGATAGTTTGAGCTAACTTACAGAGAAAGAGATGGTGATTTGACTACCTCAAGTCCAAAAGTGTAAAGACATGTGTGAAGGTTGTATGACAAGGAAACAAGCCAGAAATCCTTTAAAGGTGCACATCGATATCAAAAGCAAGGATATGTTAGAAGTTATCTACACCGATGTGTGTGGATCCTTCGATGTTTCTTCATTTGGGGGAAACAGGTATTTTGTGACGTTTATTGATGACTATAACAAGAAGATGTAGGTGTATTTGCTCGAGAAGAAGTCAGAGATGTTTAATCATTTTGTCGATTTTAAACCAATGGTCGAGAAACAAAGTGATAAAGCTATTAAAGTGTTGAGGTCAAATGATGGTGGTGAGTATAATAATGACGAGTTTGCATCATTTTGCAAGAAGAAAGGTATTATGCTTGAGATTATACCCTCTTACACACCACAACACAATGGAGTTGTGAAAAGAAGAAATCAAACGATTGTAAATATGGTCAAAAGTATGTTAGAGACCACAGGCTTACCACATTCATTTTGGGGAGAAGTGATATCAACAATTGTATACATCTTGAATTGATGCCCAACGAAGAGAGTGAAGGAGAAAACACTAGTGGAAGTATGGCCTTAGAGAAAGCCAAATATAAAACACTTGAGAATATTTGACTCGATTGTGTGGAAACATGTTTTAGATGAGAGAAGGAAGAAGATAAATGATAAGTAAAAAGTTAATTTTAATAGGATATCATTCAATTGGTATGTATAAGCTGTATGATCCTATCAAGAAGAAGATCGTCGTTAGTATAGATGTTGTTGATAAGAAAGATTGTTGGAAATGGGTTTCGATGGAGGAAAATTGAAGTGTTAACTTCAATGACTCAAGTGATGCAAAAATCGAAAGCAAAGTTTGATCGATTTCTGAAATCGAAGGAGAAGAAAATCGATCAATTTCTAAATCGAAGAAGTTAGAAATCAACCAATTTCAAGAATCTAAGGAAGGAGAAATCGACTTACAAGATCGATTAGAATACTAATGAGAATTAACGATTATGTGATACTGTTATAACAACTGGACAAATAATTAGATAAATGGAGGATGAGAATGATCTTGTGCATCTAGCCCTGTATGTTAATGTTGAGACTAAATTAATTTGCTTTGAAGACACGATCGAGGATCCCAAGTGGATTGAAGCCATGAAGAGGACTTGTTGGCAATCGAGAAGAATCGAGGACCAGTATATCAAAATTATATCGATCGAGAAGATAAAAAGAAGGATAAATAATGAAGAAAGCGTGGAGATGTTGGACTCGAACATTATGATGAAGCCTTTGAATAATCAAATATTCGAAGAGTTAAGAAAAATATTGAATGTAAAATTGATTGTTGAATTAAGGTGTTGTGTTAGATGATAATTCAATAATTATGATGTAATGATTGTTTCAGTCAGGTTAGTTAACCTAACTAACTTCAGTTTCTATTATAAATACTATATCTCTACAATATTTGTCAACACTTGTATGGACTAGTTTACATTGTGAATATAGTTTCTTTTTTCAGTGTCTTTCTCTCTCTTGATACACCTCTCTCGATATTTGTTTTAGACCCCTTTTCGCTAATAACTATTAGGTACTCATGGTTTAAAAAATTATTTTTCTTGATGGTGTACCAATGTGAAAGGGAAGCATACTTGAAAAGGAGATTGTTAAGAATTCAAGTATGAGTTGAAGTCTCATATGGATATAAATGAAAAAGTTGAGTAATTTATAAATGAGAAAAATCCATAACTTAATGCCAAAGGTTTTGAATTGAAGGTGTGACGTCATATTCTCTTATATGATGTTCATATCTTATTGTTGAAAATCTCCATGTTGTTAGTCTCCCTTCGAAAATACTCCATAGATTGAGTTAAATATTTTACATTTGCTAATAATAAAATATTATTTTATATTTTAAATAAAGCTTTATTTTATATTTTAAATATTACTTGTACATTTTTATAGAAAAAATGAAAATAAAAATTTTAGATACACTATAAACTCGTAGTTTCAAATATTCTAATGCAATTCAAGAAACTATTCTATTTTATAGTGTAGACCCCAAATCTCGTCCGGCCTCAAAATAAAGAGCAGAAGACTTCCGTTCAAAGATGGACAAGGCCTCAAAGGTCCCTAGGATTGTTTACTAGGCTCCATGTTAGAATAAGAATACTTTTTGTACACAAAAATAAGAAAATTCTACCCAGAAGACCGAGACCGCCGTCTCATTTGGTGAGTCCGCCGTCTCGCCATTTGTCAAAAGCGAGACCGCCGTCTGGTTTGACGAGACCGCTGTCTCGCCATTTGTCAAAAGTGAGACCACCGTCTCGTTTGGCGAGACCACCGTCTCGCCATTTGCCAAAAGCGAGACCATCATTTTGTTTGGCGAGACGACGGTCCTGAATGTCGAGACAACCATCTCGACCTTGTCAGGCGAGACGACCTTCCCGGTCTGAAGGACACGAATTTCTATAAATAGGACATTCGTTCAAGGAGAAAAACACACAGAAACACCCAGAAATCACATAGTTATTACTGCGATACTTCGTTTACTTGTTGTTTGTACTTCAAGAGTCCATTTCTAGCTTGTTTAGGCAAGTTTCGATTCAAGAAAGGAGTGTTTATGTAGAGTGCGGGGTTTGCCAAAAAGTGCCCTTTACAAGAGTGTTTATAAAAGCTTGCTTCGCCCTCTATATCCTTTACTCTATTTTATCGCTTTTATTAGTTACCATCTCTGTGCATTATTTATTAGGGTCATGTAGTCAATAATTTAAATTTTGCAATGAAAAAATAAGGATAAAAGCATAATTTTAATGTTCTTATTTTAAAAAATAACAGCCCATCATAGGGAACCCAAGCGTTATGGGGAAGCTAATACCTTCCCCCCACGTAACTAACTCCCTTACCTAACTCTGGTTGTAATGATCAAAGTTAGTTTTTCTTAAAATCATCACCTTCTTTTTTCCTTTTTCAATGTTTTTGGTTAAAATATTGATGGCAACTCCAAACCTCACTTATGAAAACCTCACCCTTAGAATAGTTCGGTTATCGGACATCCTAAGGGTGATGACCACACTTTTTAAAATGCGAGTCGAATCAAAAGACCATCGCGTCGCTCTGACCGCCTCTTTTGACGGCAGCAACAAATGGCAACTCTACTGGGAAGGATATAGAATTGATCCCATTTAGTGATGGACAAGTTTAAATAAATAAAAACTTGAAATTATGCTTTTACCCTTTTTTGCTTTGTAACATGATTTATTGTTTGACTTTAATAACTGTTATATGTTTACTTTATGCAATTGCTTGAAATAACAAATGTACACAAACCCTTGCACACAACAGTTCCCCCTATACCCGAGGGCAAGTGGGATAACCTTAAGGAGTGGGTGACATTGTACGATTTGTCGTAGTGAGGACCATGAACCCACTGGTATGGTCGGAAACCACCACTCAAGGTGATAACCTTCCTCTTTTGGCCTAAAGACTGACAAGGCCCTAGTGTCATGCATGGTCTGAGGGTTGGAAGAGTGGGAACCCTATAATGGGGGCACCTTGGGGGCCTGGCCTAGGTGAGGATAATTAGAACCACCCTGAAAATGCAATTTTCTGCAGGATACCACTACCTCGTAATGAAACGACGTCACTCTGTTCGCGGATGAGTGAATTGTTTGTGCATTTGTTTGTTGCATTAGATTGTTACATAGCATAATCATACAACAACAAAAATAAATAAAATAAAATCTCAAAAACCTTTTTGCAATAAACAACCTTATCTCGGATAGTCTACATTTTAGCTAGCCTGGTTTCAAGTTCTTTGTAAGCTAAGTAGCCACGTAGACCGATAGAAGAGATAAGGGGATATAAAACCAAATTTTCATAATAAACAACTTTATCTCGGACAGTCTTCATTTTAGCTAGCCTGA